TCTCATCATGAAATAGTGGGGAAAGATCCAACAAACTACAAACCAGTAAGTCTGATGCCAATACCTGAGAAGATTCTAGAGCACATCATAAAGAATTTATTTTTAAGGACTTGAAAACAATATGGTCTTTAACAGAAGCCAACATGCATTTCACAAAAAAGAGTCTTGCCACACTAATCTCATCTTGTTTGTTGACTGGATAACTTCCTGAATAGATCATAGGAATGGTGTAGATATAATGTATCTTGATTTTAACACTATTCTGAACAAAGTAGCCAATCATATTTTGATTGACAAGCAAATTAATGTGTAAGCTAGATGGCATGATTATTAAATGGATAGCCAGCTGGCTCAAAAGTTGTACTCAAAAGAGTTCTCATTAAACTGGAAAGGAGGGCCACAAGATTCAGTCTTGATACTAATTACTAATAATCCTACATGTTCTGAAGCCTTCTTTCCAAACTGAAGTTGAAGCATTTCATAGCAGCATTATTTGACCTCTTTGGGTCTTCCTCTACTCTCTTAATGAGGATAGCAAAGCAAGTCACTTAAGGATGCTTCCAATCAGTTTCAGCACTATAGTTTACGGTGTTATTAAAGAAACAAGATACTTCTCTTTTCTTATATTATTTTTACATATCAATGGATGGCTAATACAACAAATAGACTAGAGTGCGGCGTTTAGAAATGGGAGGTCACAACATTCATTAGACACCCTTGGCAAGTTACTACTCAAACTATCCAGCCTTTTATATCTGCTGCAAGAGTAAGCTGAAACCACAGTAGAATTACATACTCAAACAATGAAAGTAGGAGAAAAAAACTAATAGAAAAAAGTTAGCCAATATTGTACAGGATTTTCAGATGTCTTGTTTTAAGAGAACAGCACTTAGCAGCATAATGTCATGAAAAAGAATGGCTTCCCTTAGGACAGATACTTCTAGTTAAGTTTCTGTCTCATAATCTGTCAACTGTTGTGGGAGGTAAAGAATTTATTTGAAAAAAAAATGGCCTATAAAATCAAGGCATCTGATTTTATAGTAATGCCTTAGTTTTACAACTGCTTTGAAATAACTATCCATTTAATATTTGTTCAAGATTATTAGGTTATATAACAGGATCAGAAGACACCAATTTATTTTATATAATCAACATTATGAGTTTATTATTCCAGTTCCTAAAATTCTTCAACTAACATCAGTCCGAGAGATTGTTTAATGTGTTTAGATGGAACACTTGTTGTTGTTTAGTCGTTAAGTCGTGTCCGACTCTTCGTGACCCCATGAACCATATT